TGGAGATGGTTGCCAAGTACAGTAAAACTTGAGCACCAAGTCAGATGCTGAATGAAGAGGTGCCCAGCACATCCGAAGCCAACCTGGCAAAGCACCAGCATCTCTAGAGTAGGCGGCACCTGAGAAATAAACACAGGATCCCTGCTATGCCACTGCAATTGTGGGTGGTTCCTGCTGTACAATCTCCTATAAGGTCCTTTGGCACCCACTGTGAGGGAGGCAGGGCTGAAGAAGGAATAGGCAAACCCTGCATTGCTACAGCCACTCCATGGGGTGGCCCTACAGCTGCTACTCTGGGTCATACCAGGAGAAGGAAAACGAAGGCCATATGCATCCTAGGCTTCTCTGCATGCCGATCTAGGAAGAGCCTCATTAAAGATCACAAAATAGCGGGCTGGCCTCAGACTTCTGCACAGAAGGTAAGAGTGTTGGAAGACAGTGGCCTTCTGCTTGATAAGGGAAGAAGGCAGGACCTAGAAAATGCATCTGTAGTTAAAGACAGCAGGGATACATCCAAACTAGAGAATGTTCTATAAAATAACTGATCACTGCCCTTCCAAAGTGTCAAGGTCATGAGAAACTGCCGCAGACTGGGGAAGACTATGGAGAAATGAGGAGTGAACACAATAAGAAATCCTTGATACGATCTTGACGCAGAAAACAAAGGGATATTAATTTAAAAACTGGTGAAATTCAAATGAAGTCTACAGTGAATAGTATTGTACCAAAGCTAATTTTCTGGTTTGAGTAATTGCGCTCGAGTTATGTGAAATGTTTACATTAAGGAAATCTAATGTTACACAGTTGTAAGAACAACTTTTTTGCAAGTCTAAAATGAGTTCAAAATAAAAATTTCTAAAAGAATTAAGCAGCAGATTTGGGGAAAACTGGTCGCGAATGCAGATGTTTTTGATGAGAACAGGGCTTTGGCTGATGGACCGTGCACTCAGAGGAGGAGACAGGCCACACCTTTCAAGCAGAGGCAGCTCACTGATGTCCTCCTCAAGTTTCCACACCCTGCCCACCAGAGGTACGTCCGACAGGCCTGGCAGAAGCTCCACATCAATACAGAATGTGTAGTCACACGATGGGCCGAGGAGATGGAAGCCAGAGAAAAGAAAAGCAAAATGACAAGAGTTCAATTATTTTAAAGGCAAAGAACATGAGGAACAGAACCATCAAGCATGAGGTTAAGAAGCTTCAAGACTGGGCACAGTGGCTCAGGCCTGTCATCCCAGCACTTTGGGAGGCCGAGGCGGGTGGATCACAAGGTCAGGAGTTCGAGACCAGCCTGGCCGTCATGGAGAAACCCTGTGTCTACCAAAATTACAAAAATTAGCTGGGCGTAGCGGTGGGTGCCTGTAGTCCCAACTACTCAGGAAGCTGAGGCAGAGAAGTGCTTGAATCTGGGAGGTGGAGGTTGCAGTGAGCTGAGATTGTACCA